ATTGTACCTTATCGCCTGACTCGAGTCTTTTCGGCTTTCCCCTTGAACGCCTGAGCAGGTATTCGTTTTAAATCACAACTTCAAGCCGGTGTATGAATGTTTCTGATTCGACCATACTTAATAATTCGGCATTGCATTCATGTACTTCCACTGCTCATATGCCACGAAATCGTGACCTGATAAACTACCTATCTCCCCTTAGTCATCTAGAAGCAAGGGGTGAGACAACACTGATGGTGCAGTGATATGTATAGTTTTCATTACAGCAGTGCTACCACAAATAAGAATGTAACAGACAAGGATGAATCAAAAACAAAAAGACTTTGGAGAATGGGGAGTGAAAGAGACAACGAAAAAACGACAATAGTACAATGCTCTGGAGCTACCCAAATAAGCCGTGGCGTCGCAGTGAAATGATCACATCTTACAGTCGCTTTCCGTATAATTGCCATAGTTCATGCCTTACTTCTAGGCTTTTCAGTTGCCTAAAGAATGAATGGGAACGAAAATAAACGACTTTCGAAAAAAACGAGTTTCTTGAAGCATTTTTATGCGCTTCACGAAAGACTGAACGCCTTAGGAGGAAAAGAAATAGGCTAGAAAAAACTGCATTTTACTAATGAACAGAATTTGTGAACTATTTTAAGTAAAATGCGTTCGTCTTTTAATGGGACTTTTCCCTCACATTCATTCAAAACTTTTAACCGTCAAGATTTTTGAAATGTTTATTTAATCCGCAGTATGTAGTAAAATTTAAAAGTTTTGAATGGGGCTTGATCGATCTTCAGGCTATATAACGTACCGTATCAACAAATTCAAAAACACGGTTACTGAATACTGTAAAATGATCTACAGGTTCAGTTATACTTTACTGAATGCTAATACGCACCTTCATTGATCAACCGTAAAATCGTTTCGCATTATAGAACAGAAATGTTGAGATTATAGATTGACAAGGTGCGAAAGCTAATAGAAATGAAGAAATGCTGAGAAATCACGAAGGAGCTATGGTAACTTTTATATGATCAGACAAACGGTTCATAATTGCTTACGACGCACTGTTTTGACAGCATTCATGTCGCTGAAAATGCAGATTTTAAGAAGGAAGAAGAGTGAAAGAACGAAAGTACCTTCGAAAGTATAAAAATCTATCATATGGTCTGCTAATCAAGTGACCAATTGTAGTGCTTAGTTACTTAACCTGACTCAATCTTCCTGTTTCAATACATCTGGTAATATTGATTGAATATTTATCAATGTTAGTGGGTTTCCAATAAACTTTAGTTTTAAAGCAATTGTTAGTGTCAACTATCAAGATTACCAGAAAAGTAGGCTAAGATTATTAACCCTTTTAATGACTAACTCGTTATTTTGAGTATTCTCTTCCGTCAAAACACCAGGTTAAACACTGAAAGAAAAAATAGTTATAACCTACCTTTTCCTGATATCTTAGTGATAACCCGGGAAGAAAATAACTTCTCGCTTCTAACTTCGTGATGGAACAAAGCGAAAGAGACCTACAGGATTATGCCCGCGACAGAAGAAGGTCACGCTCCCCGAAGGTCACACTGCTCAGGCATTATCGAAAAACGAAGCCGGATTAATAAACTCATCATAGGCAAAAGACACAAAGCTTTTCACGGATTATGCGAGTCTGCCGTCCCTATTGCGGAGAATCTACTTAGTCAGCAGCACGGACCAAACGTTATGGCAGCAGTGGACCGCAGAATGAATTTCAGAAATCAGTTCTTTCGACCTTAATGAAGACTATATGACACGAGCCGAAACTTCGGTACTGGTTAGTCACCCAATTTGTGAGACTGTTTTCGCTGTATACGAACGAATAATGCTTTTTACACTTTTTTCAGCATCGATTATACGGCAGTAATTTGTTTGGACGAAGAACTCGAAACGTTGAAGACAAGGAAACAGCTTATTTGCATAAATAACGTTAAAAACACTTTGGTTAACTGACGCTTGATATGCAAACAGATGGTTCCTATTCTATGGGTGTTTTTTAACATTTTCATTACGCAGCACCAGTGTATCCTTGTATTAAGTAAACAGCTTCTAACATAAGCGCACTTTTCACTATTTTGCTGAACCCATGCTATTGCATATCAGAAGTCCATTTCAGTTAGCACCAATCTCTTCTTCGAGAGCGCTCATTTGCCTTTGATGCTGTGCACAGCTGATCGACTAAAATTGTGTATGATTCCATTAGGCTCAAGGCTGAGGTTCCTACGTTACGATCAGGAGTCACAGAGGAATTTGTAATTGTATTATTGTGTCCTATAATTATTTCCTGAGTGACTCTCTGGAGAGTTTTGATTTTGCCTGCGGAACGCCCAGTGAAGCTACCTCAAAATAGGCAGGTGGTGCGAAGCTGTTGTAAGACTCCAGGACGCGATTTACCGAAGCTGAAAATATACTGTTTGAACAAGAAAAAGAATAAAAGATTTGCTTCTTTTGAGCACAGATTAAAGAAAATAAAAATCTACTCAGATTAAGTAGCAAAAAATTAAACAATGAATATGCACAAAATTATGAACAAAACAGCCAGCTGCTGTTGATTGCTGGTTACTGTAAAAATAGGATATTTTTAAGAGTGTATATGATTGAGAACTCTGGAAAGCATTACCCGAACCAGATTTCGATCGACGTCCTATGAGACCGTGAACTTCAGCGCTGCCCGATCAAGCAGCGTGATCGTTTACTCTGACCACGAGGCGAGCCGATGGGATCATTCATAAAATAAAATATTTGTGTCGGTTAGGTTACGGGGCAGGGGTGGCTTGAGGTGGAATCCTGTAATCCAGCGTTCCCATCTCGGGTCGAAAAGCCCGCATTATGGAGATGAACGGGAGGTGCTGCTGACAAAACTAATGAACGCGTCTTCGGTCGAAGAACCAATCGGCTTCGCCCGTGGGAAGACGGTGCTCGTCAGCTGTTTGTCAAGTTTTTGCAGTTGGTTCCATCGACTGCACGGTGGCTGGGATTTCACGGCGTACGTACTTTCGTTTTGAGCTGAACCGAACGCGTTACCCACCGCCACTTAGCTTCTGGTCAGTCAGCAAGGCGACACGATCGGTCCAAGCGCATAGGGTCAGTCCACGAAAGCATGGCTGCGGTCGTCGCCCCGTAAGTCCTCTTTCTTACCAACCTCATTTCGCCGTTTATTTACCGCGGTATAATCTGACCTTAATATATTATGTCCTGAATGCGTCGCTGCAACAGGCGCGCCGCGCCACACGGCGATGGCGATGGTGGCAGCGAAAACTGAACAACAGGTGTTTTTTCTTTTGACGTTGCGTTTCTAGTTGTGATGGAATGCCAGAGGTGTACGTCAGATGACTACGATCATGATGAACGACAAGGCGCCGTTGCCGCTGCCTCTGCCGCTGCCGTCGACGAAGACCAGGGGACACTTTACGAAGAACTAGATCCTGAGTGCGACGACGATAGCCAACGTGGCATTCTGTTGCCGATTTTCGTCGCCATGATTGCCATCTCCCTGGTTGCATTCCTGTTCTGGATGATCGACCGGTCGAAGCGCCGCCAGAAGCTTCTAGCCGAACAACGGAGGTTGGCCCTGAAAGCGAGGCGGGAGGCCGAAGTTTCGGCCATCGACGCCGCTCTGGCAAACTACGACTCCGAACAGCACGACTCCCAGACGGACAGTCGCTTCCGGTCACCAGGTGAGTGACGATAAATTAAAAATTTTCCCGTACCCTCTGCGTAGTCCCGCTCATTTGTCAGTGCTTTCCCACCGATTCATTCATTACTCGTTCTTCGATGGCATTGCAGTCGCCCGGTGATGATAAATGTGTTTCGATGAACAGCAGTCTGTTATCCATCCACTGAGACGCAGTCATTAATAATTGTAACTGCATCCAAGATCTTATGATCCCGGCAGAGATTCATTCGTCTTCGAGAAGTAACTTCGAGATCCTAATGCGTGCTTGCACTAAGTAGGGAACAACTGTTTTATACCTAGGATTTGCTTATATGTACTAGTAATACATTTTAATACGTTCCGGTGATGTTCATTAAATAGAAGTGTCATCAAGTTTCGAAGAATCTTTGCACTGGTTTTAAAATGATAATTTATGAACATTTTTGTTAGATATAATTTTTACTTCTTGTTTAAATAATTTAATGGCTACAGTGGAATCAAAAGAAGTTTATGGCTTGAACTTGTATTTCAAGATGGCGAAATTTGGCGTTAGGCCGGATTTGGTGTAGCTGCATTATGCTTCGATGACGAGCCTTAATTGATTCCTGTTTCGTTACGTAAATTAATAAAAGGTTCAGTAAAAGCATCTAATAAAGGCCATGTGTGAAAAAGAGCCTGATAAATCGATTAATACATCATAGGAAAATATGATAAACAAAATCCAGACGGGTAGATCTTATTGTAGTGTGTCATTGTTTCATGTGCCTTGTAGGACAAAGATTTTAAGATTGCTAACTTGTTAAAACACTGCAGCATTTTAATCACCTGACGAAGGTATAGTTAAAATATATACTGCTATATAACGCATAGCTCCTTTAAGACAAAACATAATTATCATAAGCCTTTGTTAATTTGATCCACTGCTGGATGAAAGCCACCTCATAACTTTGCCACAGATTTCTGTTTCTGTCATTTTCATTCATCATGATCCTATGAACTTCTTCAGTTGATCTTGCCATCGACCTGAAGGTTTTCGGACGGGTCGTTTATTCTCCCTTGGAACCCAGTTTAATGTCTCTTTGGTCCAGTGACGGTTGCTTCTTCTTGCAAAGAATGTCTTACCCAATGTCCCTGTAACTTCTTCACTTTGTAATATAGCAGACTCGTGCTCTTATCCATTCATTCGACTTCCTCTTATTTCTTGCTCTTCACAACATACACCTTTCCTTGCTGTTTTGTGTAATCTGTAAGTTACCTATGGCGTTCAGGGTTGAGATGTACGTTTTGCACCTCTGGGTTTGCACCAGGAGCACACACTGACCCAATACTTTCCTTCATGCTCAAAGGGCAGTTTCCCGAACAAGAGCATTTTCAATCTTCCGAAAGTGTCCCATGTCATTTTTATTCATCGTTCATTTCACAAGGCCATTTCTCCAACGTAGAGATACCGTTGAATTCTTCTTCTTCTTCTTCATCATGTTCCATGGTCGTTTCTCCTTTCGGGTCGCGGAGGCACGTCGGAGAGAGCTTCCAACGTTCCCGATCCTGTGCCAGAGTCTGAGCTTCGGCAAAGGACAACTGGAGTCTGGAACAGACTCCTTCCATATGTTTGCACCAGGTTAATTTTGGCCATCCGCTGGGGTTTCGGCAGGTCGGTTTGACAAGAAGCGGTTGCTTAGCCCTCCATGTCCGTTGAATTCAACCTGACGAATTTGTTAAACATGGCCTGATTCTTCTTTTCAGTCCTATTTGTTGCTGGCGACCCCAGCTCTTCGATTCTTCTTTGGACTTCTTCTGGTGATCATTAGAAGATCAGCATATATTCGGCAAATCGCAGATGGCTAAAGTAGTGTTCATTTATGTTTAGCGCTTAATTTTCCACAGAAAGTATGTTGAAGACTTCTGCTGGGGCTGCTGTGAATAACTTCGGTGATACCGCGTCTCTCTGTCAGATGTCCTCATCGAATCTGAACTTGTTTGTGATCTGTTCAGGCTTCACACTAGTATTTGCGTTCTTGCAATTCTTGGCGACCAGGTTCATGTGTTTTTGCTTGATTCTCTGGTTCCTCATCGAATCCATACAGAATTAATGTTGACTTAGCAGAAATTGACAAACTCAAGGCAGAGAGGAAGCTGATATTCGTTGTTTGCTTCAGTCACTTATTAAACCATCTTTAGAAGATCCACCATAATGTATCCACTCTTAAACCCTACTTGCTAATTTAAAAGTGCTGCGTCCAAATATATACTGTTTGTGATTTTTAAATCAGGGTCATTGTTTTCGATTGGTGCGTGGTCCCAGTGTTAACGTATAGATGGAAAACATGAAGTATTAAGAGAAGACTGTTCACATATCACAATCTATAGGACGCAGTACGGAAAGGCATGTATTTACCAAAAGAAGAATGAATAGGAAAACTAACGGATGGATGAGAGTACGATGACGAGGTAATTACTTCAGCAAAAATGCGAAAAAGTTTAAATGGCACGAGCTGGTTATATTACAACTAGAGCAACAATGTTGGATCAAACAGATATTCGACTGTGCTCAAAAAGATTGCATAATGCCTAGAGAAGGCCATCAGCTCGCTGACAAGATCAGATGAAGAAATTTGTTGAAGAAAAGTGAATGAGGATCTCGAAAGACAAAATGTTTTGGCAAAATCCAGCAGTAGATGGTTAAAACCGTATGATGATAATTAAAATTTATTTTTATTGTATGTGTGTATTGTATTTATTTGCGATGCCGCAGTCGAAAACGCGAAGTTCGAAATCATCTTGTTTGTGAGCCCCGCCTCCACGTCGATAGACCACAATTACGATTTTTGCACATCTAATGAGGATGCGAGAAACTTTAGCAAAGTCAAGTCCAGGAGCAAGCTACGGATCAAATAACTCGACTATACGCTGAACACTGCTGACCCTTGGACGAGTCCAGAGCACATCAGTTTAACACC